AGAAAAAAGGAAAGATGAGAGATGACAATTAATCTTTTTAATATGAAAAAATGTATGGTGTCCAAAAATTCTTTGAGAGCTTTGCCCTCAAAGAATGCTCTCCGCAGGAGCATTGGCTTCTTCACATGAAGAAGGAAATTTTTTTTTTAGCAATGTTATAACATTATATATATTATTAATATATTTTTTTAATTTGTATCACCATTAAAGGTCACATGATATAAAGAATTTATTGCATTTTTGAGCATAACTTACAATTCTGAGTTTTGATGTTTTCCCAAAATTGGCCACGAGGCGCAGCAAGTTGCGGGACTAGGTGACTTGCATCATAGTATATTTTTATTGAGTATGGGTTGGATGTGGGTTCAATTATTGTTATCCATGCAAGCCTCTAGTAGATATGCTCTCCCATACAGATAATTAAAAAACCAAGTTAGATAGTAACTCGTGTTTCTTCCGACTTTCTTTTCTTTCTAGATTCTTCATTGTTTTGGGTTAAGGCTTTTTTATTGGTTTTGATTTTTTTGGTAAATTTCGTGGTGATTTTCTCATTCATTTAGATAATTTCAAGCATCCGAGCATCATTTATTTTGAAAACATAAGGAGCAATCTTCTCTCCTTGTTCCCTTTTCAAAATACTTCTGATAGTGCTATAATTCTTTGGTTCCATGGCAGACCGAGTGTAAATTAACTTCATATTAACTATGTTTATCTAGAGATAATCATGATCATATTACATTGGTAATACATTGTAATGTTAGACAAACATATTGATCCCTGAAATCATTGGTAATACCAATGTTCACTTTGTCTGGTTTTGTTGCAGTATGCCCCATATGCAAGTCTAAAAGACTAATATTTTTAACTCAAGGAAAATTTTTCTGGCGCGAAATTACATAATTATTACACTACTGATCCTTGTGTAAGTTTAGACCGGGACCCGTAATATTCCATAATATTAACACGCAAACAAACGTAATAATAATAATAGTAAGAGTAATATTATGGCGGAAAAATTTTCCTGATGCGCATGAAATTTAAATTAACCAATCAAAATATTTCATTTGAAATTCGATATATAGCTAAAAAGAATTTTTACGCAGCTTTAAATATACTTTGTACTACATGACAAAAAGGAAACACGAATTTAAAAGTAGTTTATTATACGGTATATTATTTTTATCAGATTGTGTTGGTGCAACGTTGTTATCATTTTTAAAGTGGATCTGATAATCTACCAATTCGATTGGGATTTTCTTTAAATCGGCCACTTGTTGATCTACCATCTCTTTCCAAGTAATATTTTTCTTTCTAATATGTGCAATGCACCTTTTAAGAACATAGAACGTCAAGACATAAAAGGTTAAATTAAGCCAATCAATCACATGTACAATTTGAAATTGTCACGACTTGGGGACCTATATTAATATTAGATAAAAAACATTACTAATTTCTAAATAGAAAGAAACATAGATGCAACCATTTTTGTGATACCATAATAATGAAAAATAAGTGAATGGGAATGTCAAATTTGATCAGGATACGAATTATTAATAACATTTAAATAGCATTACCAATTTATATTGAAGTAAATATTTAGATGTGGTGCAGTCAAAGTTGAACTCGCTGTAACAAACAACGGTTAATTATGAAAAATGAATTGGGTTAATAGTAAACAAAAAAAATCGTTTTTACATTTACTATTAAGATTTGCTGTAGCTATGATATATATATATATATATATATATATATATATATATATAATAACAAGTCGGACGAGGAATCTACAATACATGTATTCTTTAATAAAACCGGTTTTTTAATTAATTTATATTCTCGATAGTTCGCACGCGTATTTCGGTATTAGATTAAATTACCAAATTAATAAATTCATTCAGTCATTTATGGTACAAGCAAAAAATAAATAAAATAAACCAACTACAATTGGAACTAGCAGCCTCTCTTTCTAATGATGTTATTTATTAGTTATTCTACACTTTTAGTAATAATAGATAGGAATATTCTTCCGCTACAAATGAAGCTAACTGTTATTTTCCAACACTCGAGCCCCATTTATCTGCGCAGTTATTCCCACATACCAAATTTGACTTTTTGATCTTTACCTGCATTTACTATTTATTATTATAAAATAAATATGAAGCTAAAGCATTTAAAGCAAATTGAAAGCGAAAATATAATGCCATTTTTGAATAGATGTGATTATAACAGTAACTTTATTTGGAGAGTTGTTACACGAATTCGAAAATTCTTAGTTATACATACAAAATTGTTATTCTGCTGTCAATAGTTCGGCTTACTTCGGAATATTCGGTGCCTGCTAAACGTGTTAAACTAATGTCAAGATCAAAATTTAGGTGGTCACGCAAAATTGGTTGGTAATTCCCTTGACCCTGTTAATAGAACGAGGCAAGAAATTATCTGTTCAAAAAAATTGTCACTATAAGAATCAATGAAGACAACAATCGTGAAAGAATTGTTGGGAACGAAGTTCGCAGACATTAATACCTGATGGAAAAAAGCCTATATCGCTATGATCAGCTTCCCAAAGTAGGAAGTTCAGTGCTGTATACTTCAAAAGAATATTTGCAAGAGGAGAATTGGTGCGTTTAGTAAATTTATTAAAAATTGCCTTAAAGGGCGGTCTTTGTCTCACCACTTTACATATTTGTTAAATATTATTTCCAAAAAAAATTAATTACATTCATATAAAAAATTTCTTGATTATTTTTCTTAATTAAATTGAAAATGATTGGTTTTTAAAATAAAATTTTTTTTCCTCCTTTCTTCCCTTTTAAGAATTGATTTTATCTAATTATCTAAATTTGTAATTATAAAATATATTACATAAAAATAAAGTTTTATAAAAAAAGTCTATCAAATCTATTACATATATATATAATAAAAATAAATATATTTTACA